TGTACTTTATTTTGAAACATTTCTGTTCCTCTGCAGGTAGGAGTTGAAGCCTTTGATCATACATCATGTTTTTGGCATCAATTTGTAACACTTATTTTCGCTAAAGCATCATTACCCATACCATTGACTTAAAAATGTGTTTCAGGAGGATAGCCGAGCTGTACATCTTTACAGTAACAGCTCTGGGGATCATTTATAACTTTGAATACTTTTTACAAACTTTTTTTTATAGTTATTTACCTTTTTTTATTTATCTTTGATTGTATCCTTAATATGTAATCTGTGCTGTTTTTCAATCTTACCCTGTTGCTGGTAAACGACTGAATTTCCCCACGGGGATTAATAAAGATCCATCTTACTGTATCTTATCTTAAACCTCCATTTATAACTTAGACTTTAAAACCTTGGTTCAGTTCCAAACCTTCACGTAAAAAATATTTAAAAGGTTGCAAAAGCAGCAAAGTTTGGTCTGTGATGCGTGTGTGTATACAGTATGTACTGTATCTGTGTGTGTATGTGTGAATGTGTCCACATCATTGTTTGTTTGTCTGAATTTGTGTGTGTGAACGTGTACACTATGTGTTTCTTTGCAGCCCCCACTCTGTTCCAGATCGTCTGCGTCTCAGAGTGAATCGGGTGAGCCTCCAGGAGTACGACCGACTGCAGTACGACAAAGACCGGCTACGAGACATATGTAAGGATCTTTTAGGTGGCTATAATATATTTTTTATTTTAAATCACATGACGACTCACAACGATTATGTAATTTGTGCCTCTCAGCTCATTGTTTTGATTTTCCAGCCCAGCATGATGCCGTTTTCATTCACTCTCACTGTTCTCAGCCTGTTCATCAGCAAACAGCAGATATACCGAGTAAGAGACGAGCTAATAAACATAGGGAAGCATTTAGCAATTATGAAAAGAGAATATTGGAAATACATTCAACAGCTGGACACCAACATGACTTTAAAATCTGAATCAGAAATTCTTTATTCCCTCCGGGTGAAATTGAGCTTTGCGAAAATGTGAAATAAAACATAATAATTGAAAGTAAAGATGTCCTCAAATAAAATATTATACAAACATGGCAGTTTAGTTATTGGATACATTATTGATCATGTTGCTTTGTAACTGCTGAATGTGTGAATAGGCACCTGTTGGCTTCACCATATTAGTCTTTTAAAATGTCAAGAAATGCAGCCGAGAAAACTCTTTTTTTTTTCAATGCATCATCTTCTAAAGTGTGTTTTTGTATCGCAGCCATCCCTGTAGGCATAGTGGTGGTGAGGGGGGACTGTGACCTGGAGACATGCAGACTCTATATCGACCGACTACAGGAGGCAAGTTTCCCCTTCAATCTTCATCAATGCTCATCATCACTTTTCCTCAACATTATTATTTCATGATGCATATTGCTTATAGACGGATAATCGCTGTGTGTCAATAACGAGCTAACCTCTGTGTGTGTTTCATCTGAAGTTTGTTGTTAACCTTGAAACCTGTGTGCTGTGATTATTAGGATTTACACCAGGCGCCATCTACTGGCCACAGAGTGCACTATCAGGTACATCCCTTCTAGTCTCTTTTTGCTGTAAAAACTGGGTTATCATCAGTTTTGGCTTCGTATATAAAATGCCATCTGTTAGGGAATAATTTGCCCTCGTCCTCTTTCACCCTCTGACTCCAACCTTGAGCAGCCGCTATCTCCCTTAAGGAGGGGCTGCCGCTGCCCTAGCAAGTTGCTGTTGTTACCAGTTTGTGACCGGGCAACTGTCGGTCAGAGATGATTATTGTTGTGGGACGCCTGGAACACATCCTTCTCGGGGTGTAGATGACCTTGAGCCATAAGCGACAACAAATGTGATTCAGTGTCCTCAGCTGTTTAGTCTATCTATTGAAGAATGTTGATTATTGCACTCTGAACTAGTTAAAACCTGGAACTACAGGAGGGTGCTTCAGAATTGATTGTGGCATCTCAACTGTGTGGTCAGACCAACGTGGCCCTATGACATGTCTTGTGAATTCTCCGGCCGAAGCTCCAAATAAACCGTCAGTGTTTGCCATCAAAGCTCCTGCTCTCCATCGTTTCNNCACACACATACACTTTTCGAAATCCTGTTTCCCCCACTTTACAAATATGTTTTTATTTTAACGCAAGCCGTCATCGCCACGGAGGAGCACACAGCCTCTGAGCGAGCGAGACAGAGAGAGAGAGCTAGAGAGCACACCTTTATATATTTCATATAGGTGTAAAAAATAAAGTAAGAAATCATTCCAATGTGTACTATAGGACAGTTTAAAAGGGGGGTGATTAAAATATGCATAAATAAAAAGAAAGAATGCTAACTAACATAAGATAAGAATAAACAAGTTTAAATTATTTGTTACATAATCACCAATTGATACAGTATTTACCTATCAACCAGAAAATGCTGTCAATTAAGGATGATTCCAAGCCCCATATGCCTTCTCTGTAACCAAAAGATTGTTGGCACATATGTACACATGGTTTATGAATGTACTGCAGTAAGAACGTTCTGGAAACAGGTTATTGACATTGTATCTGAGATTATTGGAGTTCACATACCCTATCTCCCAAATATTGTATTGTTGAATGAGGATTCTTCTCTTGACCTACAGAAACATCAGAAAAGGGTGCTTTTCGCTGGTCTAACAGCAGCCAAAAAAATAATAGTAATACGATGGAAACCCCCACATACTTTATTTATTAAGCAATGGATATCATCCTTCCATGACCTACTAATCTCAGAGCTGTCAATCGCTTCTGCTAATAAGGCTAAGGGGGAAACATTAGAGGCTATTCAAAGAGCTGCTGATCGGGTAATATCATTCATGTAAATGATGATTGTAAATATACGCACACCTTGCTGTAATTGTAGATTATTAGGAGTTAATCGCAATTCAGCTTAAACAGATTAAATGTTATGTGGGAAAAAAAAGGTATGAATGTATTTTATGTGGATAAATTGTTATGCTATAAATTGTTATGCTATATACGTAGATGAACTCAGACGATTGCTAAAAAACATCAGGTAGGATTTTCTGTGAAATGGCAAGATGGGTGGGAAGAGGGGGGGATGGGGTGGCATGGGAAAGGGATTCCCTATTTTTTTTCTTTCTTTGTCTTTTCTTTTTCTTTTTGTATTGTCTATATCAGGGGGTTCCCAAAGTGAGCCGCCCCGTGGGGGCGCCAGAGAGCTTCAAGGGAGCGCAGGCCGCGCAGAAAAAAAGTAAGGAGAAAACAGGTTTGACAATCTAGCTAGTTAATTAACTTCAGCTAAATGATATGGCGAGCGGCAAAATATGGATACATGTTTAGTGGAAGTTACCATAAAGTGAGAGAGGAGACAGCGTACTGTCAGAAAAAACGGAGGAAAGTATGACAATGATTACTTTGAAGCTCAGGATTTTCGCATGGGACCGGTCCTGATGACCACTCCACTGCCACAGTGTGTTATCTGCAGACNTCTTTTTCTATTTGAAACTACGTACTGCTATGCGCACATATGGAGTTCCTTGGAATCAACCTCTGCCAACACATCAATTAGTTAAGGTCATATTAAGTCCAAACAGTGTGAGCGGCACTACTTCATATATATATAAAAAACTGCAAGATAAATTAACCGGATATATTGCTATCTCTGCAGTATGGAACGCAGATCTAAAAAATTCTACGCAGACTATTGATTGGAAGAGAATATGGAATAATATCTCCTTAACATCGCGTAACCACAATCACCAATTGATACAGTATAAAATGATACACAGATATTACCTGTCGACCAGAAAATGCTGTCAATTCAGGATGATTCCAAGCCCCATATGCCTTCTCTGTAACCAAAACACTATTGGCACCTATGTACACATGGTTTATGAATGTACTGCAGTAAGAACGTTCTGGAAACAGGTTATTGACATTGTATCTGAGATTATTGGAGTTCACATACCTGTCTCCCAAATATTGTATGTTGAATGATGATTCTTCTCTTGACCTGCAGAAACATCAGAAAAGGGTGCTTTTCGCTGGTCTAACAGCAGCCAAAAAAATAATAGTAATACGATGGAAACCCCCACATACTTTATTTATTAAGCAATGGATATCATCCTTCCATGACCTACTAATCTCAGAGCTGTCAATCGCTTCTGCTAATAAGGCTAAGGGGGAAACATTAGAGGCTATTCAAAGAGCTGCTGATCGGGTAATATCAATATCAAATTGGGGGGCCACTAGAACTGCCACTGGTACAGAACTATTGAGAAAAATGTGAAGTATAATAAGTACTTATGTGAAACTATTTAATTGTAAAGTGGTCAAACAAACGAAACATTACTTAATGTCAGATGGTACTGCAACGATTACATTGTATTTGTCATACCAGTTCACCACCAGGTGTCATTGTTTTCACAATTAATTGTGTAATAGTGAAAGTTAATTTGCTAAGGTGTTAATGCCAAAAGTAATTAAAGTAAAAGTAGTATTGGTGGTGCTCATAACAATGTGAGACACAAATGAAGCCTTATCTGAGTTAATGTTCGTAGTTTTGTCTCTTTAATTAAGTAAACCCAATCATTTGTATTTATTGTAATTATACATTTAATTTATTTTGAGAATAATCCTAATTATTTGCTTATTTGTTATACTGTAATGTCAAAATTCTTGGAAATACATCACAAAATCATACATCTATTAGGCGGTGTAATTTGTTTTGCATTATGTGCATACATATAATTGTAAACCCCAACCACACGTTGGTGTGAAGGGCAGACATGTTAGGTCAGCACCAGTCTATGGTCAGCGCCAGAGCCCTAGAGAGATTTCTCTTTAGGGCTCTGGTCAGCACATATGAAAACATTGGCAACGATACAGTGAAAGACAGAAAGTGATTAGAGTGTGCAAGTTGTTTGTTTCTGACTCCCGCCATGTATGTGGAGCTGCAGTGCCGCAGTGAGACCGAGGGGGCGCTGTGCACCCAGCCTCACAGACACCACTGACTGAACGGACAGAGAGCTTTGTGCCGAAAACTAAAACCAACCTGTGTCAGACTAATGAATTAAAACGGCCCACTTGAGAGGTAAATACAAACGAGGAAATGCTTGACAAATGTGCTGCTGTTTTAGTCGTAGGAGTATATTTGAAAATAGATTCATTTTGCATTTGTTAGGATGTTAAAAATCCTCTGTGGGTGCAAGTTGGTGTGAGAGAGGAGGGCTCAGGGCGACGGTAGCAGCCCTGCTTCGCCTGTAAACTAGCGGCAGAACGGAGCGATGCGTTGAAGTTGAAAAAAGACAGAAACAAGTAAATTAGCTTGATTTTAAAACTTCACAAAGTAGTTGTATTTGTTTTAAACCGCACGAACTGAACACGGGCATGGCTATTTGAGGCAGAGGTGATAAGATACTTTACTTCCTCTGTGATTGTATGTAGCTGGAGATGTGATGGGTACCTCCATAGTTTGCGGCCTACGCTAGCAAAGTAGGCTAACCAGTTAGCTAGCACGGCTAACGTGTATTAGCCTTTCGCTGCTAGCATTATTACTTCCTTCCCGCAAAATGCTAGCGGCTAGCCAATGATGTTTGCACTGCAACTGGCTAGCTGGCTAATTTGATAACCTGTATGACAGTAAAGATACATTTGCTGCTGTTTTGTTTTTTTCAAACTGGCTTTCCACTCAATTAGCGATTCAAATGGCTGTAAGGTTACCGGAATAGCAGCACTGCTTGTTTCTCTAGCGATACAGTGTTTGATGAGAAATGTACTGGGAATATGGAGCTGATGTTTAGCTGGGTTGTTTTAGCATGCGAGCTAATACTATGCAGGCAGATGGTTTAATGTTGGCTTTCTCTCTGAAAAGTGTTCTGGATTATAATATCGTTTAGTACACAGGTGCGGTTTGACTAATTCGGCGATTAAATTTCAGACTTGGCAAATGAGAATGATGCTTAAAACAAGGTTTTTGTAAGTGCGGTAGCATGGTGGTGCTGAACTTTTGTTTTCTGACCCATAGAGGCCAGTAGAAGACCGTGTGGACCAGACATCAACAAGCATGGAGTTCCCGCAACAGCAGAAACCGGCGGTGGACGGGAAGATCATATACCCACCCGGAGTGAAGGATATTACGGACAAAATCAGCAACGATGAGGTGGTCAAACGTTTAAAGGTATGTGTGTGTGTGTGTGGTTTCATCCTGTCAAGATTCATTTTCTGCAAGTCCTTATCCCATGTATCTGTGTCCAGTCCCTGGCAAAATGCCAATCCTTCTTAACTTTGTATACTACTGTACATTAAGTCATAAGAGGACATTTTTCTTGTATGGTAGGCCGTTTTCCAAATCTTCTGTGGTGTTGTTTAGTTCTCTCAGATTGATAACAACACTCAATATTGCTTCTAGAACATGATTGTGATTGTTGAACTTCTGTGACATGAATTATTGTTGTTCAGTAGCATTACATTCTCAGAAGTTTATCAGCATTTCATTTTGTTCGACTGCAAAAATGGGCTTATCCCAAAATATCAACTTAAGATAAGCTAACATTGAAGCTGTTTTTACTGCAAGGGAACAACACATTCACTCGTGTTTGCATTCCCTTTTCAAAGAAAGGTCACATTATTCAATGTATACTTGCGTATATTTATCTTGATTCATGGATATTTTAGTTCTGGGCACTTCCCGGTAGCAGTAATAAAACTACTGACCTATTCATTTGAGATATTGGAATCGTTGCATTTGGAGTTTAGTCAAATTTGCTCTCACTTCTAGCTTTTTAGCTCTCCGTGTTTGTTACGTTTTGAAAAGTGTTTAGATTTTGAATAAAGTGCTTGTATCTGCTTGACATCTCGACAGTATAAATTGTTAGTCTATTTATAAACTGGTGAAACAAAACACGACACCTTTTATTATTTGTTATTTTAATACGTCTCCCTACTCTGGGTTGCTCTCCTGATTGTTGATACCACAGTTTGATGTGATCTAATAGTGCAATTAACAGTATATACTTCTGAACTTTAATACAAATGGAAGGAGCTTGAAAATGAACATTAAAATGCTTCAATGGTATTTGCTGTTTTTTACTTTGGAAGGTGAGGGAAACCTGAGATCAGTTTCTGGCTCAGTCAACACCTGAGAGAAATATCTGGCTCTGGCTTTAGCGGCTTAATGCTTCATTATGTTCACCAGTTAAGATTAAGGCAATAATTCTCATTTTCAAGTTTAGAATTGATGCAGTAGTTTTAAACATATTTATTATAGCCAATTAAAACATGGGTGCTAAACCCTGTTTCAATACATCCTGATATCTTCCCCTCAGCCTCCCCCACACTTCAAACCTTCAGCAATATAAAGTTGACAACTGTGCTTCAGTGTTTACAGGGATCTTGTGACTGTTCTTAATCACGTTAGATTGTTTACTACTAGACTGGTTACCTGACATCCTAGAGGTGTTTATAAAGTAGCATTGTGACCATAAAGCACACATCCCTTTGACAAGCAGGTAGGGATGGGTACCGAGAACCGGTACTAAGTCAATACCGGTACCTGATTGGATGGTATCGGTATACCGTTAAGCCGCTGGACAAACGGTGCTGCTATCGGTATATCTGTTACGTCTACTTCCTTAGTTTAACTTTAAACCATTCTGGTTGGTTGGGAACCCTCATCCCGTGTGATGTATCCGGTTTGAGACCCCTCTGATTGGCCACTGTAAATGCCACTCCTCATCTCTCTCAACAGCGCTCTTATTATTGTTGTGAGACCCCCGCAGGCATGGCGGACAGAGCGAAGCGATCGAAGGTCTGGATGCACTTTAAAAAAATGAAGTGGCGATAGTGCAAGGTGCAATCTATGTACTCAATTAGTTGCTTGTAAAGGGGGTAACACAAGCAACTTAATGAAGCATTTGCAAACGAGACACTCATTGAATCTTAAACGGTGCTAGCGATAGTGCTAATAGTGCTAGGGGCTTCAGCCGCGCCGTGTGTAAATGTGACCTGAGCGAAGGCTCGCAGGCAGGTTAGCTGCTGCGTACGGGTAATATGTTTTGTTTACCTGGGTGCAGTCTTGCAGGCACATCGCCTTGTCTTTTTTTAGTTTATTAACACCAAATTATTGAAAAGTATCGATAAGAGTATCGAAAAATACCGATACAGGTACCGGTATCGATAAAATCCTAACGATACCCATCCCTACAAGCAGGACACATCTGCTGAATGGCAGGTTGTTGCCTGTGCAAGACACATGTTTACAGATCTATTTACTCTGCCGTATACTGCTGTGCTTTGGAAATAATTACTAATTGCATTTCCAATTAGCAACTTATGAAAGGGATTCATGACTCATGTTGTATTGCCAGCAGAGCATTAAGCAAGCAGAGAGCTTATTCGCAGTTTTAAAGTCACTTCATCTACATTCAGCCGATATCTCAAGTTATTCTGTAGTTTGGTCAAATGTTTGTGGAACGTTAAAAAGGAGGAGTTGTTGCACCTGATTGGCTACCATTTGTAGTCAGTTCCACCATAGAAATGATTACTCATGTCAGTTTGCAACACAAGGAGCATATAAGGTGTTTACATGAGTATTGCAAAAGGGTTTACTACAATATATTCATGACAGCACTTTTTGTATCTAAAAAAACTACATTTTTGAAAACATGTTGTGGTGTGCATGTATTTTATTACAGTCAATATATGTTCATTGTTGTTTCTTCTAACTGAAAGTTGAATATTTGCTTTGTAGTTTGTATATATGTTGCTATGGTGCAAAACAGATTTCAGTATACACTAGTGTCGATTTAACTAATATACATCCTCGTGTAACGTTTTCAGGGTAACTATCTCATTGTCAAAGATGATTTGTTGTTTGGTAATAGGTGGGCACAAGTTGTCTTTAAGGTGGGGAGAAAGAAGATGGGGGGGGTACTCTTTGATTTATCAAAGAAAAGCCCTTTGTGAAGGAACAGAAAGCTTAAACGGATTGTTTGCTAGTGAAATAACCTTTATTCCTTCGAGGAATAAAAATCATCTGCTTTTGTTCCCAAGCTACAGTAATAGTTCAACACTTTGTAAATACCCTTCCTCTTGCTCAAAGTAAGATGACAAGATAAATCCCGCCCGTTTGTATGCATATTTGAAGTTGCAGCTGTCTGGAGTCTTGCCAACGACTTGTATGATTTACTGTAAAGCTACAACGAAATTCTTCCATTGTTTAGTTAAAAAAAATTATAAAAAAAACGTTTGCTAACAATATTTCCCCTGTGGTGTTGATTGCTGTGCTGCCAGGTGAACAGGATGATTGTACTATTTCTTATCCATACTAAAGTACCAGGAGAGTATCCTGCTTGTTTGATCCGTCCAGTGTGTAGAATCCAGCTACTCCATATTCCATAGTGCTCACTGTGTGTGTGTGTGTGTGTGTGTGTGTGTGTGTGTGTGTGTGTGTGTGTGTGTGGCTGAAGGGTTTAATATCTTGGCTGACTTGTTTGAATGAGATGAAGGGTAGAGCTGCAACTATAAGTCCACTACCCACTGGTACTTTTTCCATGCAAAACTGGCAGAAAAGGCTGTTTATTTAAACACGTCGACTTGGGCTTTGACAATTTAGGGTGGACATGTTTACTATTTCTGACATTTAAAGATATGTTCACACTTTTTCTGAAATTAAATAGACTGATGAACCGAGGAATTGTTTGGTCAATTGATCAATATTGAAAATAATTGTTAGCTGCAGCCCTGATGTAGGGGGGTGGTCACAGAGGACATGATGACTCATGAAGATAAAAATGGTTGTTACAGTTTATTAGATGTTATATAAGCTGCTTGCATGAATTGAAGGGTTGAATTGTAGCTTAATGTAAGATAATCATTATACAGATAACACAACAACTGTGTGGAGTCTCAGACTTTGCAATCATTTGATAAACATGCCACATATATATTTTTAGACGGAGACAAAAAAACAACAATACATTTAAGGCGCAGAGAAACACACACTCCACGGCTCAACCGCCCCACACACTCGTCTCTGTGGAGAGCTTTCACCGGCTGGGTCGTGACTGTTTTAGCTGAGAGCAGCCGACGGTTGGTTGGAGTGTGTGTGTTTGTAGGAGTGAGTGTGGCACTCTCTCTGCAGTCTGCTGGAGCGGTTGGCCCATCCCCCACCCCGGCTCACTGCCTGGCTGTATAAAGAGCGCCACTGCTCTGCTGTGCTCCTCTTTCAGACACACACTCACTCATTGCTCTGCTAGAGGAAGTGGTAGTCCTAGTATCAATATCTTAAACTGAGATGTTTGATATTGATGTGTGCATATAACCTCTTGAGACACAAGAGCTTATGTTTAACAATTTCAATAATGGATATTGTGTCCTGTCATTTTAACCTTGGGCCTTATTTGTTTCGCCTTGAACTAATCAAAACGGACAAGTTGAAATTAGAAGTCAAGCCCCCTAAGCAGCACTGGGAAAGAAATGTTTTTACCAAGCTATGTGCTTTAAAAGTGTTGGAATGTCTCAAACTTATTGTGATTTCAATGAGCTAATTATATAAGGGTTGTTTGTTCTTCAAAGTTCTACGTTGCTTTAGGCTCTTTAGCTCTCCGTTTTGATTGTTCTGGATGCGCAAAAGCTGTAGGGTCGTGTCTCTCTGCTTTGGTTTCTTCATATAAAACTGAATGCAGCCGATTCTAGCAAACAAGCTCTGACAGACCAGGGTATTTGTAACTTAGAAGGCAATGGGGTTATCTGGATCATTGCTGAAGCTTGTATGCATTGTAATGCTTATGTTTATAATTTGTAGCCAACTTTATTGATTTTCTTTGCTATTTTGACCCTGTTACATCACTGTCGAAATAAAATAATAGTTTGCCGTGTTTAAACCATGGATACACGCATGTATCGATTAGAGGTAGTTTGGAAGCTCATAAAAGTGCATCTTTCATTTGGCAGCTGTTAATTCTTCTATATTGCTTATGGGGAAAGTCTTTTTGGCCCAACTGGTGTCATCTGAACAGCAGAATCAGCTGAAATATGCTAAATATATTTATAAAGTAACCCCAGTAGCATTGCAAGTACACTCACCACACATTAAAGGGCTGCTGTTGATATTTTGTGCTGTAGATGAACTAACGATTGCAGACCATTTTATTGTAATGCTTGGGCTGCATTGGGCTTGCTTTTTTAAAGCTTAAGTAAAGGTACTGTTATCATATGAAATGCAAAGCCTCAAAAATCTATTTGTACTAACAACTTCATGCTCCTTGGGAAGGCAACGTTTAAAATGAAAATGGGTTCTATGGATACCCACGAGTGTCTCCTTTACAGATATGCCCAGTTAATGATAATTGCACTAGGGCAAACCATGCAGTTATTAACATTACGTTAAATAATTGTAATAAGGCTTCCCCAAAATGTTCCTTTCTCACCCTCCTCTCTTGTCGCTCTGTCTCACAGATGGTGGTGAAGACCTACATGGACATGGACCAAGACTCTGAGGAGGAGAAGGCGCAGTATCTCGGCCTGGCGCTCCACCTCGCCTCAGAGTTCTTCCTCAGGAACCCCAACAAAGACGTGAGGCTGCTGGTGGCCTGCTGTCTGGCTGACATCTTCAGGATCTATGCTCCCGAGGCCCCCTACACCTCCCACGACAAACTCAAGGTTAGGAGCTGATCCTAGACAAGTGCTTGTTATCCTTTATCAAGCCCCTGTTTCAAAATAAAAACACACCAAGCTTTTCTGTTTTGCTGAAACTCAAAACAATTGAAATGACAGCTGTGCAGGTAATAGGAGCTGTAGTTGAATATCAAGAACATGTGCAAAATAAAATAAAAAGTAATTATATTAAATGTATCATTTCATATGATATGTCTGGGAAAGAGTCTTCAATTCGTCCTGGCTCATCCTCAATCCCATGAAAAATGACTTGAAGAGCAACTTGCAGGTTAGAGACCCCAGTGAATAAATGTTTAGTAAAATTATGTACACACTAGATTTTCAAAAACATATAATTAAATATACACTACAGTGACATCTGGTGTCGTTTTGTCAAGACATTTTTACTTCCGCTTAAAAAAAAAAAGACCACACGAGGGAGAGCGGCCAGTCTAACGTATTCATAAACATGGATTACAATGCTAGTTTTGACACAGGAGAGGTTGAACATGTATATTCACATGCATATGACGGACCACAACCTTATAATTATGAGCCTGCTAGGCGTCCAAGAGACCAGGAGCAGCCAAGGATTAGAAGAAATAACGGCCATCGGCGAGAAATGGAGCTGTGGTGTGAGGAGAACCAGTGGAGAACTGGGCAGCTGTCTTGGTGAGTGACCGGCGTTAGCTACAGTTAATGTTAGCTAACGTCAGTCACATCACAACATTGTGAAGTTAGCTATCATATATCAGGCTATAACTAAAGTAGTATTGATAATATATTAACGTTACTGGCAGGACTGTTGATACTGATCCATAACAGAAAGTAATGCGCAAGTATCAGCCGTATCTCGCGTTACCTAATGCAACTCCACACTACATCTTAGGCGTCTTTTCAAAAACAACCGGAAAAGACAACACAATGATAGTGACCTGTCACTCATGAGGTATTCATACCCAAAAGCATACCTTCATTATATGTGTCAGGAAAATGCTTTCTTAAGGTAGTAAATCAAGTGGAAAGTACGGTCATTTTCTCATAGACTTCTATTCAACCGGACTTTAATTTGAACCCATTGGAGTCGCCCCCTGCTGGCCATTAGAAATAATGCAAGTTTAAGCCAATCCTGCCTTGACTTCTCTGTTCTGACACACAGGTGGCCAATCCTTGACCATTCACCAAATGGTCGACATAATCATTGTTTGATTATATTGTAATATTTTAGTCTATAACATATATCTTCCCCTGAAATGTGTAAACCATCTCGTTGTACATGTAGGTGTGATGATACAACTTTTCTACAAAGTTAGTCAATGAGTTAATGAGACTATTATATACAGTAAAATATTTTGTCCATCCTTTAGGTCAACAGCTTCGGTGCCCTTTATAATCAATTCTACATAATTTACAATGTAAATGTACAAATGTAATTTTCTCATAGATATCCATACATTTGGATTTACTTTTGTAATCAGTAGGGTTGCCACCTGCTGGCCATCAGAAATAATGCAGGTACATGTAATGGAATCTTCATTGATATATTTTTGTTTAAACTATTCTACCTGAAACGTATAATATAACACTTTGTTGTAAGTGTACAATGTGATGATACCAGCTGCAAAGAACTTTAAGAGGCAGTCAGTGCCTCCATGAGTTGATGAGAATTTCATATAAAAACATCTATCTTTCTCTGAGTCAGCAGCTTCAGCGCCACTCAAGGTCACGAGCAATCACTGCTGCTGTGTTAAGATCTCTGTTGTGTTAAGACATCTGTCGTGTTAAGACATCTGTCGTGTTAAGATCTCTGTCGTGTTAAGATCTCTGTCGTGTTAAGACATCTGTCGTGTTAAGATCTCTGTCGTGTTAAGANTAAAGCTGTTGAGGCATGGACCGGTGATCGACAAGCAAAGTTTAGGGGGCGATCGGACCGTGTCCATTGGAGTTACAGTGGCATCGTGTTTTATGGCAAGGGATGCGTTTCCATGGAAACGGCATATGATGACACCCCATAATTGACGTAGAGCTGTTGAGGGCTGAACCATTATCTGAAGTCTGCTGCTCTGAGCATGTCAATTGTAGCTATGACATCATCGTGTTCCATGACACAGGTGTTTTATATTTGAGCTAATGACGTGTCCAGAGATCAAAGGTTTCCATGGTGATTAGTGAGAGTAAAGCATTTTCATTGTTCTGAATGAGAGATAAACCTGTTACATGTGAATGTTTTGTTGAAGAACCGCAACAGATATCGGTGAAATTTCAAAGCGTGAAGCATGTCGAGGAACTTGAGCATCTGAAGTGTACTTTTTGTGTACTTTCGGGTTAATAATTTGGCCTTTTTGACAGATTAACTAAAGGTGTGCGGCTGCTGTGATGGGGAAAGGTGAGGCTGAAGTTACAATGGGTTTTAATGGAGACATGTTGAACGTTTTTGTCACTTCATGCCCTCAAGAGGCATTTTGTCTAATTATTTTGCTTAATTTTTTTTTATCTTTCAAGCTACGAGATGTTTTACTACGTTTGTCATGAAACATTATGTCTCAGGAGTGTAGGGTTTGGGAATTATGGCAGGTTTAAAAGAAAATATGAAGGCAAAATTAAATCTCTCCACTCTAGCTGTGACATCACGCACTCTAAAATCTGAAGAAGGCCTCTTTACCAAGGTCTGAACAATATCTAATATCTGTAAAAGTAAGAATCAGATTTGAATGTTGTTACTCGAATAATGTCAGAAAGATGTGACATTTTAAGGTTGGAATGAGGTTTCTGAGTGAAAGTATGAAGGAGCAGTTAGCAGTTGAAGTTGCATGAAGATTGTTGAAGTCTGAAGAGTTCTGAACTCTTCAGACTTCAACAATCTTCATGCAACTTCAACTGCTAACTGCTCCTTCATACTTTCACTCAGAAACCTCATTCCAACCTTAAAATGTCACATNAAAATAACAAAAAGTTCATCTCACATACTTTGGTTATAAACCTTGTTGGCAAAACAGAGGGTGCAAACGTTTCTGTAGTCTTCACAAGGTTTTCACACGACTGCTTGCTTGGTATGTGGCCATTGTCCTCCATGCAGATCTCCTCTAGAGCAGTTGACTGTTTTGGGGCGTGTCGCTGCAACAACGCTTTTCAACTCCCCCAAGATTTTTTATGGGTTGGAGATTCTGGAGACTGCTAAGGGCCCACTCGCGAGGACCTTTGAATATGCTGCTTACGAAGCCACTCCTTCTTTGCCGGCCGTGTTTTGGGACATTGTTTCATGCTGAAAGACCCAAGCCACGTTTTTCATCTTCAAGATGGCACTTGCTGAGGAAGGGGTTGTCACTCAAAATCTCACGATTACATGGCCCCCATTTCATTCTCTCCTTTAACACGGATCCAGTCGTCCTGGCCCTTTGCCAGAAAAACAGCCCCAAAAGCATTTGATGTTTTCCACCCCCATGTTTTCACAGTAGGTGATGGTTGTTCTTTGGAGCAAAACCAGCATTCTTTCGCCCCCAAAACAGCGCTTAGCTAGGTTTTTTACCAAAAAAAGTTTCTATTGGTTTCAATCTGACCATATGACATTCTCCCAAATTCCTTTCTTTCTGGATCATCAAAGCTCTCTTAGTAAAAACTTCAGACGGGCCTTGGGACATGCTACGGGGGCTTAGAGCAGGGACACGTCTGGGCACTGCAGGATTTGAGCTCCCTGGCGGCGTGGTGTTGTTACTGATGGTTAAGCCTTTGTTCTTTGGTCCCAGCCTCTACAGTCATTGACTAGGTCCCCCCGTGTGGTTCTCAGGGATTTTTGCTCACCGTTCTTGTGATCATTTTGACCCCACGGGGTGAGATCTTGCGTGGAGCCCCAGATCGAGGGAGATTATCAGTGGTCTTGTATGTCTTCCATTTTCTAATAATTGCTCCCACAGTTGATTTCTTCACACCAAGCTGCTTACCTATTGCAGATTCAGTCTTCCCAGCCTGGTGCAGGTCTACAATTTTGTTTCTGGTGTCCTTTGACAGCTCCATAGTGGAGTTTGGAGTGTGACTGTTTGAGGTTGTGGACAGGTGTCTTTTATACTGATAACGAGTTCAAACAGGTGCCGTTAATACAGTTAACAAGTGGGGGACAGAGGAGGCTCTTAAAGAAGAAGTTACAGGTCTGTGAGAACCAGAAATCTTGTTTGTTTGTAGGTGACCAAATACTTATTTTACCGAGGAATTTACCAATTAATTCTTTAAAAATCAGACAATGTGATTTTCTGGATTTTTTTTCCTCATTTTGTCTCTCATAGTTGAGGTATACCTAGGATGAAAATTACAGGCCTCTCTCATCTTTTTAAGTGGGAGAACTTGCACAATTGGTGGCTGACTAAATACTTTTTTGCTCCACTGTATATATAGCTACAGTATCTACACACAGATCCATCACACACCTGATACTATACCTGTCAAGCTTGGATTCAATGAAATAAAAAAGAAACAATGATGAAACATAAATATGGAACATAAAAACCCACATAAACATACACACGCACACACACCCCTCCCTGCATGGATTCAATTGCCTCTGTGTTTGCAATTATGGCTCAGCAGGAAGTAGAACGGAGCACCTGGGTGTCCTGCGGTGGAATACACTCTGAGTGAACTCTGTATATGAAAACCTCTCTAATCTAGGAAATAAAGGTTGAACTACTCTTGTGCCTGCAGTTAAATTTCAATTTCAAATACCAGGAAGGATTGTATTTCTATATCTATGCTTTCCCAAGTGGCCTGTTTTTGGCTGTGGAGGTAGATTTACTCACATACTGCACAAACAGTGACGTTGAAAACATTACACATTCATTAACACAATGGTTTGTTTGTTTTTTGCCTTGCTATCAAAATGAAACACTGAATGTATTCAGTTCACTAGAGAACAACACAATGTATACAAACACCAAAAAAGCAAACATGTTTTCAACTATAACTAATGTAATAATACAATAATTATTTACATTTTATCTTTCATATAATGACTGTCA